TGGAGCTAGTCCGCCATCTCACAGATCTTCAGATGCTTACGAGGAATGATGAACTGTTGTCTGTGATTAGAGATCGTTTCGAGAAGCAATTTCAAAACCTCAACAATATGGATCTCATGCTCAAGGACATGAACAGATTTTGTGCTAAAGTAGATTCACAAATGCTGCATATCCATCCCATAATGGTAATGACTGACAGGAGTGTTTGTTTTAGCTTTTCGCTAGAAACAGAGTGACTGATTTTCTGCAAGTTTTAGATTTAGCAGGACTGAAAAGGAAGTATGCTTGGAAAAGTTCTATAGAAACCCGGATTGATGAAAATCTGAGATATTTTTCTAGTATTTGTGGGATGGTGGATAGTTTTGACTTTTGAGTGGATTCTCGAATTGTTATAACATTAAAATGACTTTTTTTTAGTGAGTTGCATTTCGATTCTATAATTTAAGTAATTTTGAGAAGTTAGGTTGTAGAAGTGTCTGTATCAGCTTTCAGTTGACCATATTTTTAAGCGGAAACAAACTAAGTCGCAATCTTTTTCTCTCCTGCTGTTTCAATGACTGTTTTTTAATGCTCTGTTTACAACCTTGCAGGATGATTCACACTCAAATATAGCTTTCCCATATGACATTGGTAGTACTACTCTAAGTGCTGAGATGGAAAATGGGGACGTGGATTCAGCTGATTTGGACAATGTTTCATTGTACTTTAAGAAGTTCAGCGACGGGTTACAACTGCGGAACAAAATCGTTGCTGAGAATTTCGAAGGATTATCGAGCTTCATAGACGAGTTTGTTGAATCTTTAGTAAGCAAATTAAGGTCAACAAAGGATGTTGTAACTGTCACCTTTGAGCGAATGGAGTCCATGAAACAGAAGATGATGGATTTGGAAATTAAAAAAGAAGAACAAGATGGAGCCTTGACATCTCTAGAAAAAGAGCGTGAAGTTTTGCTCTCTGCATGCATCAATGCTACAAGAGAACTGCAGATTGAATTAGTGAACAGTCTGCTGGACCTGAAGTCTGTTCCTGAGCTTGAAAAGCTGAACCATTTGATTCAATCTGTTAATGAAGAGTCATATGATGCTGGACAAACTGAACCAATTGTTGAGGCTCAAAATTTGTTATTGGCTGCAAGAAAGGTTCGAAACCATATGAAAGTATTTGAAAGTACGAGTACAGTGGCGGCTGCTGTGATTGAAGATTTGGAGAACAAAGTGACAGCTAATGCAGGAACTTCTGAAAGCATCCTAAGAGAGAGGGATTTTTTCCAAAGCAGGGTTGTGGAATTGGAGAGTGAAGTAGAAGGATTGCAGAATTCGTGTCAGCAACTGGGGTCCGAACTAGGAGATCATGTTAACATTGTAAGAGAAAAGGACCTACTTCAGAGTAGAGTTGCAGAGTTGGAGGATGATGTAGAAGGAAAAGAAAATTTGTGCCAGCAGTTGAAAGCCAGGCTAGGAGACTACGAAAGCTTATTAAATGAAAGGGAATTACTTGAAAGTAGGTCTATGGAGCTACAAGCCGAAGTAGAAGCTTCACAAAAAGCATGCCAGCAGCTGAGCTTGAAACTTGTGGACCACGAAAGCATTGTACGAGAAAGGGATCTACTTCAGAGTAGGGTTGCCAAGTTGGAGAGTGAACTAGGGGATTACAATAACTTAGAGGAGAAGTTAAAGGAAAATGAAGCGAAGCTTTCCACTTTGCAAAGCAATATATCTACGAAAGAGCAAGGTAAACCTCTGTCGATGTTTATACTTAATTTTTTTAAGGTTAATGGCATTTCGTGTCTCTCCTCTCAACTATTTCTGATTAGCAAACACATACCTCCACTATTAGTTTTATCAAGCACATCGCTATAATATAGCTTTATGTGTTATTATCCCATGAAATCTATTTATCAACAAAGTTTTTAATATTTCTCGAACCATTCTAATTTTTTATTAAAGATAAACATGTTATTTAATATAAAATTAAATTTTTTATTTTAATTGAATGTTAACAATCACAGTTACCAAACAATAAACATTTTAAAATTTGTTTTCAACAATCCAAAAGTTAGAATGTTTAGATGGTTGACAATCTGTAGATTTAAAATCATATTCTCCAAACGACCCCTTAATGGAGTTACAATTTTCACAGCATCCTCTAGATGACTCATGCCCACATGTAAAAAATCCATGTTTTTCTCATTCAATTCAACTTTGAAACCACACATTTCATGGGGCTTAGACTAACTGACAGGATCTAGTTGAGGGGGCGAAAAACAGATTTCCAGCATACATGGTATGTTGATTCTTCAATGACGTGTTTGCTAAGCATGGGTCGAGATAAGCGACATAGTAATGACTTATTTGTTAAAATGTACCGCATACGGATTTATCTCTTAGAAATTTGCTATTTAAACCATTTTAAAACATTTTGTTGCTTTACCAAGTGCAGAATTTTGCTAACCAGTCCGTTAATCATTCTCGTTTCAGGAAAAGCTGAAGACCCTCTTATTTCAACATCAGAGCTGCGTACTCTTTTTGACAAAATCAGTAGTATCGAAATTCTTAATTCAGAGTTAGAAGTAGGTGGAGCAGTTGGATCATCGCATAGTTCAGTTGATGTAAATAAACTATTCTACATAGTCGATAGCGTGTCACGATTATATAATGAAATAAATGTATTAGCTTCGGAAAAAGATCAGCTACAGACAAGTCTATCTCAACAGATTCTGGAAGTTGAACTTCTGAAGGAAGATGTTCGAGCTCATTCCAGAAATCAAGAAGATGTGGAAGTGATGAAGGGTGAGATTTCAGAGATGACAGCTGGCTTGGAGCGAGTAATTAATGCATTAGGAGGTAATGAAGTTGTTGCAGCAGCAGATCCAAACCCTGTTGGTCCAGGGAGACTTCTGCAGCAACTGGAAAAACAGGCCAATGGACTGCTCTCCGAAGCTGAGAATTCAAAGTCCCATGCTCTTGAGCTTGGCAACAGGTTGCTCGAGAGCCAGAAGGTTGTTGATGAATTATCGACTAGGCTCAAAATGCTCGAAGATTCGGTTCAAAGTAGAAGTGCACAACCTGAGATTTTCCAGGAGAGGAGTATCATGTTTGAAGGTTCATCTCGGCCAAGTGGGTCAGAGATATCCGAAGTTGACGATGCAGTAAGTATCCTACATCATTGTGTGTTAGCTAGCTGATCACTCATCACTGGCACTGCTGTATCTTGCAGTTATTCTGAATGCCATTATGGTTTCTTGCAGAGCTCGGTTGGGAAGAATCCTTCGCCTCCCGTACCAAAGGCTGCCCACGTGAGAACAACAAGAAAAGGATCAACCGACCATCTAGCAATCAGCATTGACTCAGAATTGGCCACTCTTATCAACAAGGAAGAAACCGATGAGGATAAAGGTTCGCATTATGATATATCTTCTGTTTTAATCCCTGAGAATCGTAAAAGGAAATGAAGAACATTAACTTGTTTTTTCCCGTTCCAGGTCATTTGTTCAAGTCTCTCAACACATCAGGCCTAATCCCAAAGCAAGGGAAGTCTCTAGCAGATCGAGTTGACGGAATCTGGTAAAGTGCCCCTAAACCAAAACCTTGAGTTGCTACGAGTGATGTGTGAAAACTTGGGCATGCATATTTAGTGACTGCGAACAATGTTGCAGGGTATCTGGTGGTAGGAATCTAATGAGTCGTCCAAGGGCAAGGCTTGGCCTGATAGCCTATTGGCTTCTGTTGCACGTATGGGTATTGGCAACCATTGTGTAACACAAACAGCAAAGAAGCAAGGATCTGAAGGGAAGGACGAAAATCACTCTGATGGAAGTTGGAAGCTTTTCTGTATCATAGTTAAGAAGGGAAATTTCCATCTGATTCGTTCATTGTGTTTCCATTACCTACCTCTTGTTCATATATTGTCTAGAGTTCCCTCATTTGTTCTCTGCAAGTCATGTTTTAGGATCGCTGCAGAGATGAAAGAACAACAAATAAAAGGGGGGAAAGGTCAAGCCCTTGTGTTTTTGCTTGCTTTGTAGAGAAGGGAAATTTGTAAACCATTTGTATTAACTGTTTAGACAACAGGTGTTCATAATTTCCCAGTTACAGAAATTTGTTAAATGTGGAAGTTATATGTATCAACTCTTGATTCATCTGTTTAACCATTGAATTATCTTAAACTCTCAAAACTGAGAGGCCATGGGTGGCCAGCCACGTGCCGTGATCCCGGAACTGATAACGATAAGCCAGAAACAGGGAAGAAGAAAGTATGAGATATTCGCACTTCTCCCAGCCATTTTTGCTGGTGGGAAGCTAATTCTTGGACTGGTTCTAGTAATATGCTCATCTCGATTCTTGCTACTGAAGACATGGCCGGATTTCAGAGTTCTCTGAAGCAGCAAGACGAGCAGGTTAGGAAGGAAGGAACCCTATTGATTGATTCTCAGTAGATGGTTTCAGGGAGGAAATCGCATACATTGATCTGCTGATATTTTGCAGGTTCTCACATCTCTCGAGCGTCTAGATTACGTACCGTTTGCCCTTCTGCCCGGAGTTAGTGAGGTAAAGGTTCCAATTACATTGAAGCAATGCCTTCTCGTTAACATTGTTGTTGGTGAATTTGGAAGCCTCTCCCTCTACAGGGGCTCTGGAGCCCTGCAGCCGCTCTTTGGAATGGACTTGAAGAGTGTTCTTGCTGTTGCTGCCTTGTTTGAATGAACAGCCAACTGCTTGAATTTGCTTCTGGCCAGTTCTCTCTAAGTCCACCTTTATGTTAATGATTCTTGTCAATTCCCCCTTTCTGCAGGGAGAACTTCATTGGCTGCATCTGTGGCTACACCACAACAACATCCTCAAGCATTGTCGTCCCAATGGTTTCCCATGCTTTGAACAATCTCATTGGAGGGATCTCATCGAGCTGCAGCAGCCAATCTTGGAAGGCATTGAATTAGTCTATAACTTGGTTAGCCCGACGTTTCCCTCGTAATTATAACTATAACATATCTCATTCATTTTTTTTAATAAAGGAGCTTCCTCCTTGAATGAAACCTTGTTTTTGAATATAACAATACAAACAGCAGATTGGAGGTTCTTATGCTCCTTTTTGGTGGTTACTGAAAAATGAACAAGGTGTATTACAAAGATCTTTTCTTGAATGTTAAGGGAGAAACTAGTTTGACAAAACAACAATCCAAAAGAGGAGGCATAGTAAGCGTGAAAGAGTAGTAAGAAACCGTTCGAGCTCTCCAGACCGGTCAACATATCTTTCCTTGTTGGTATTTCCATTACAACTCAAATCATTAAAAAAAGGAAAAAATTTCTGCTTCTGAGATTCCCAAGTGCTGTTCCTGCTAAAGACAGGGAGTGTCGGAGCTAAACTATACACTGAAGCTATCCCCCTCTCCCAGGAAATGCACAGTCTTGTTGCTGCTTGATGACAATGTCGTCTTGTTCAGACTCACCGTGTTCTGCAATGTAAGGCTGTTGGTAACTTCTAGGGCTAAAGGGGGATTGTTCTTGTCTCCTTGTACTTGCCCTCATGCCAATGGGGATGATCTCATGAATCAATTAAGCCGGACGCCTTCTCAAAATGATTCTCGAGCTTAATTAGCATCTACCTGAACTGGATCCAGGCTGTATATGAAGTTCCATTTCTTAAATCTTACACATGTATATATGCCAAAACACTAGATCTCTACATTATATGCAGGTTCTTGGCTGATATGAAAGCGGAGTAATTTGTTCCTTCCTCCAATTTGGTATAACTAGCTGTTCTTTCTCCTTTAGATGTTTGTGACAGTTTGCTGCAGCCTGCACTATGTTTGAGGTAAAAACTCTACTGCAACTTCAGTTACCAGTTCCATATTCAACTCGCAATTGTGTTTTCTTTCTGACTAAAGCTTTTCATGAATATGTTTTCTGTTTCTTTCTGTTATGTGTTATGATGGGAAAGTTTGAGAAGGGAGATAAAGAGAGGAGGAAGCAGGAGAGGGAGAGACTGAAGCAGGAGAAGAAGTGGAAAAAGAAGAAGGAGAAGAAGAGGAACAAGAGGAATAGGAAGAAGAACAACAATGGGAGTAATGATGGTGGCTCGTTGCCAAGGTTTGGGGACTGGGACGAGAGCGATCCATCATCAGCAGACGGTTACAGTGCCATATTCGACATCGTTAGGAAAGAGAAGAACACTGGGTTTTGTGTTAGGAATATGTCCTTCAAGCTGGCTGATCAAATCAAAACAAGGAGGAGAGGCAGGCTCCGCCGTTTCCTCAAATCTCTGAAGGTAAGCAGTGTATATCAAAATTTCCGAGTAAACTTTTACAAGTTTACGCTTTGAAGAGTTTACTCAATCAAGTACGGTTGCGGTCTGTTATAGAATCTTTCGCTTACTCCATGCAGAATCCAAAGGTTTCAACAGGGTATGAATGGAAGGGTGAATGCTGAATATTTACAAATGAAAAAAATTGTTTTAGTCGATAGTAGAATTAAGAATTCGACTTTTGACATCGATTGAAGTGGAACATTCTTGTGGTTGTTGCAACTTCGAGGAGATGGATTTTGCTTTTCAAACGTCGAGTATTCTATATTCACCGATTTTAGCAGATTGATTTTAAGACAAGCATGACAATATGAAAAGTTAACATGATCCATGAAATCTTGCGATTTTCTGTTCTCCTTCTACACTCCCAACTCTGTCCCGTCGAATCTGTAGTTTCTCACCAACTTAGAAGTTAAGTAGTACAATAGTACTGGTCAGAACTGGTTTCATATGATGAAGTTCTTTGGTTGATTTATCCAGTCCCTGATGTTTTTGCAGAGATGGTGGAGTTGCTTGTGAAAGAAGTTTGCAGAGGGAGGTAGGAGAACAGTGGATCAATCAATGGCTAGCAAGTTTTGATGCTGCCTGCCTGTGTTTCTACCCTGCTGTGATGTTTGGCTTAAGAAAGAAGGGATCCATGTTGGTTATATATGTTGATTTTTATTCGTTTTAGTGCAACACCTTTCCCCCTCTTTTGGGGGAGCTATTATGTTCTATTAGATGGCCGCAAATCTCATGTCTTTATGTCTTGATAGAACTTACGGGTTCGAATTGCAAACAGTTGGCTCGAGTTTGAACGATGTTGTTATTTCTATTCACGTAGGGGATCGTGAAAGAAAGGATCAAACTTGGGGATGTAGGTTGCCTCTTGGTAAGAACCAGAGCTTGTTCATCATGTATTACTTGCGTTTAAAGAAATGGGTATAAGGGATTTAAATAAAAGGAGCCTGCTTGTTATGGTGACGTTTTTTCGTTTGATCGTCTCATTAGGTAGATACGATGGTTCTTGCAAGGAAGGGCATCCAGCTCATAAGAAGTCAAACGAGTGATATAAAATCTGTCCTGTAACTGTAAGGATGGTTCTTGGATCCAACAATATCAGAAACAATCTCAATTGAGCTCAGTTCACGGTGCTGTTGACGATCCAATCCACCATGACCAGTTTGAAAAACTAGGCTACTCTGGCTGCAATGCTCGAGAGCGATCCTCAGGTTCATAATTGTTGGTAAATTGACGCGTGAACGTTTCACGCGTCGGGATTTCGTAAGCGAGAACTAAGAAAAACTGAACGAACTGGTTTATTATTTTCTGATGAATAAAACGTAGAGGTAAAGTACATGTTTATAGGACAAGTCCCATAACCCTCTCCCTCTCAAACAAGGAAACCCAATCCTAAACCAACTCCTAACCGATTACTTCCTTAATAAGAAATAATAATAACACAAAATAACCAAGAGAATATCCAAATAAACAATAATAATAATAATAATAATAACCAAAATTAGTTTAATGACCCAGACAGTCAGAAAACGTGTACTCATCAATCCTCCCCCCTTCAAGCGATCTCGTCCCGAGGTCGCATATCCTCCTCGAACCATTCCCCTTAATCACGGTCGAAATCCCCAATCAAAGAAAACACTTGATTGTTAGCGCAACGATAGCCGATTGTGAAACGCTCATCACAATTATAGCAAAGGCCATCACGACGGCGCTTGGCAGCTTCCTCCGGAGTCAGATGCCTAAAGACTCGCCTCCCACTTGCTGGCAGCGCTCGGTTCGGTGTAACTTGCAGCGGCGGTGGCGGTGCTGGGGCGGGATTGACAGTCGTCTCGTGGTTCCCTGTGCCTTGTGCGCGTGGCCCTCGTGTGGCTCCTCGCTCCAACCTGATCTCTTCCTCCCGGATTTTTGCCAGGCGGTATGCATCGCCAGTGTTTCGGGGCCCGAATGCACGGATGTATGCCGAAATTTCTGGCTTAAGCCCTCCCATGTAAGTACCCATCACCGCATCTTTTCTCCAGCCGTGGCAACGATTTAGTAACCGCTCAAAAGCCTGTTGGTAATCTTCAACAGTGTCTGTCTGTCGAATTTTGGCCAGGGCCTCGTGCCCTGCCGCCTTCTCCGATGCCCCGTACCTTTTCCAAAATTCTGCACGGAAGTCTTCCCATGTCAGTACCATCCCTTCCTGGGCAAACTCTTCCTCAATTCACATGATCCACTAACTAGCATCTCCCTCCATGTGGAAGGATGCCAAGGCTACCTTCTGCTCTTCCAGTGGCGGATCTAGGAGGTGGCCACCCCGGGCCCCGGCCCAGCCCTTATCTGGATCCATAGTTAGTATATGCCTTATAAATTTTTCGATTTTAGGTATTCGGCCCAATGCTATTTTATAATAAATGGGATATAATTAGCAAACGGATTTAGATGAACATATTCAAATCACTATTCTAAATTTAGCCTAGAAATTCTAGTCCCAAAGATTTTTCGTCTACCAAAAACAATGAAACCTAAAATTCTAAAGCATAATAGACTAAAAAAAATGAGGTTTGTTACCTTGAAAATTTACTAGACAACTGGTGGTATAGGGATGGACACATAATGCAAATTGATATTTATTTGTCTAAGGTTGACGCTGCTCGTTTCAACAATTACTATAGAGAGAACCTAAGAGAACTTTTTGAACAAAGAAACATGTAAAAACTTATTTGCACAATAAAGGAGCGATGAATTTCTTGCCAATTGCTCAAGTATTTTATTTAGGACAGTGTATACTATTGGTATGGATGTGGACTACATCATTGATGCATTTGTTAAATTAAGATACTATCATGTACAATATAAATTGTAAAAAAAAAACTATAATCATTAATTTTTTTATGGTTCTAATTTTCTAATAAAATGCGGCCCAGTGCTCTTCTGTGTTCTGGATCCGCCGCTGTGCTCTTCCGGAATGTCCTGATACCTAAAGTACTTCTCGACCCGAGCCATCCATCCTGAAGGCTCTTCTTGTCCGGTGAATTTGGGGAATTCCAAGATCGCAGTTTGGCCTTTGAACCAAGCAGTAGCCGATTCCTCGCTGGCACGAGTTCGCCCTGCTTCACCAAACTCGGGCCGCTGTCCAGCTCCAGCTGGCCTAGTAGGCCCAGTCACCCGATTCGAGCCCGACTCAAACCCTGCGATCGCCCTTCCTGCACCACACCCGACCGGTCCGTTTCGCGGCCCTCGTCCCCAACCAGCCCGCTCATCGAGAAGGTCCAACCGGCTGACTGGCTCTGGGTTGCAGCCCCCTGACCCCAAGTTCGGTCTACTGCCGCCCAGCTTCTCCTGCCCCCTCGCGCCTCCCTCGACTCTGGCCGTCCCACGCCCGGGCCGCTCATCGTACCTCCCGACGGTCTTCGCCTTTCCTCCTTCCTCCGCATCACACGCCAGACTTCCCCATGCCATCCCGGTGAGCGGAATTGCTTGCCCATTCCCTTTCTTGCCCGTCGTCGACGCCTTCGGCAGTGGGGTCGAGTTGCCCTTACCGCCTTCATCCCCTACGAGTCCCTCCAAGGCTGATAGCGAGCCCTTGCGCTTTTCCTCTTGCAGTATTTGGTCAGTAGTCCGCTTCGCCCCAGTCTTCCCCTGTTCGACGATGCCAGTGACAAGCGCCTCTATTCTCTTTGTGAATTCCTCGAAATCCCGACGCAAGGAGTTCCCGTTCCTCTCCAACTCGCGCCTCATCTCCCCGCGCAACATCTCGGTGACCTGCTCGAGTCCCTGCTGTAACTCCTTGCGAACCTGGCGAACCTCGCCTTGGAGCACAGACTGCCCGGCCTTGAGGTGCGTGACATCCTCTTGGAGTTGGGCGTGTTCTCCCCCGGCGGTGTGTAGCTGTTGTTCGAGGTCGGCGATGCATTCCACGACGTCCCGGATCTGCTGCCCGGCGGCGTCGTCGACGGTTTCCACTGAAGAAGAACTCGTGTTGTTCTTCTTGGCGGCATGGCGTGTGGCTCCTGGGTTCTTTCGAAACCAGGCTCTGATACCAATTGACGCGTGAACGTTTCACGCGTCGGGATTTCGTAAGCGAGAACTAAGAAAAACTGAAAGAACTAGTTTATTATTTTCTGATGAATAAAACGTAGAGGTAAAGTACCTATTTGTAGGACAAGTCCCATAACCCTCTCCCTCTCAAACAAGGAAACCCAATCCTAAACCAACTCCTAACCGATTACTTCCTTAACAAGAAATAATAATTACACAAAATAACCAAGAGAATTTCCAAATAAACAATAATAATAATAACCAAAATTAGTTTAATGACCCACCGTCAGGAAATGTGTACTCATCATAAATCACTATAGCTTTTACTTTGCACTTTGTACAGACTTTACTGTAGCAAGTAGCAACTAGTAGCAGGCTAGCATTACAAATTAAGCTCTTTTATGAATCACATAGGGTTCTTACTTCTTAAAGCAGAACATTTAGCAGATTTAGTTCAGTAATAAAGAGTATGGGGAGTTCTGTCATGAAATTATATCAAACCTTCGGATCATTCACTCTAATCAAAGAGTATTGGTTAGGGTTCATGTGAAGGCTTGGAAAAGGGTAAGAGGTGTGGTCACAAACTGACCAAGAAGGTCTAGTTTTGAATGTGTTCATGTGGTGCTCGTGTTCTTGCAGTGGTAATCAAAGCCCGAAGAACACTGAGACAACGGTTTTAGATGTTAACTTTTGGGAACATTCATGTTCCCAAAGTTGTCTTTTCATCCAACGTGAAGCCTGTAGGAGCTAGTTAGAGGGACATTGAATCGTGTATGTGTGGACATGTAGGTGGGCATCAGGCAGTGTCGACCACGGGCTAGCACGGTATGACAGGGTTAGAGCACGAGCACGGACACAAAATAAATGGGCCAGCCTGACACGAGCACGAATAATTTATGGGCCGTGTCAGGCCTAAACTTCATGGGCACGAGCACGGGCACGGGCACGGTATACAAGTGGGCCGTGTCGGGCCTAATATTTTCGAGACTTATTGAGTATAAGAATGAACATGGTACGAAAATAATATTTATTTGATAAAAAATAAATATAAAATGAATTATAGGTTCAAATATTACAAAATACAAGTAGAAAAAGAATTATTTGTTGCTGTTAGAAGTGTCATAAAGATATATATGTAAGTACTACCATAAGTAAAAATGGATGAAGAATTAAACAAAGCCAAATCACACTCGCTATACTTCCAATTTTCTTTTCCCTCTTATTTGTCACTTTTCTCAAACATTATCGGTTAATACTATCTTTCTCCGTCCAAATTTCACATTCCTTTTATTCTCTCTTTTGTTTTCTTCATTTTCATTAAATACGAATAAGAGCATGACACGAGCACGAATAGGCACGACACGATTCGAACCGTGCCCGGGCCTGGGCCGGGCCTAGCAAAGTTAACAAATGGACTTGCATGGCACGACACGAAAACTGACGGGCCGTGCTAAGCACGACACGAATTAAATGGGCCTGAAGCGTGCCCATGCCGTGCCGGCCCAAACACGGTCCAACGCCCATGTACACTTGGACACAATAATTCCATTTTCTTCAATAAAAGAAATTATTATTATCTTATTACCAAATTACTATTTCATTTTTTTGTCTTTTAGTGAGGATGAAAAAACTTGACATCTTACCCATCCCTCACAGATTCAAATTTTTTGAAAGAAAAAGTATTTATTATTTGGTAGATATTGTATGTATAACTAGGGGAGACTGTTTTGTTTAACCAAATCGAACCGGAAATAAAACCGAACAAAATAATTTCCTTAATAATGAACTGTTAAGAGGCTAAAACTGTTCAATTTGATTTCAAGAAAATGAAATCTGAAGTTTAAGCGGATC